TGGCCCATCCCGGTTACAGGTGGGAGGTGTTGGGGGGCTGGAGGACATGCCCTTGACCGTGGGTTGGGTTTGCAGTGGGAGCCGTGGCTCTAAGGTATCTCAGATGCTGAGCCCTGAGTTGAGGGGACAGAGTCAGCCCAGGAGGGAGCCTGGGACAGTGGCCATGCCTGGGCATTGGCAGTGTGTCCCAGAAACATGGCTGGTGCTGGCTACTTCCCAGTGGGGACGCCCGCCGGGTGCATCCTTTCTGAGCCTGGCTGCAGTGAGCCTCACTATCAGGGCTGTGGTAGGGATGGGCTGTCTGGACACTTGGGCTCCTGAGAGGGGGAGGCAAAATAGACTGTGCTGGGGCGCAGAGAAGGCAAGGGCCAGGGTCAGGGCTGGCCCCAGGACTGCCAGACCTGCTGAGGGTCACACATCTGTGTGTGTGTGTGTGTGTGTGTGTGTGTGTGTGTGTGGGCAGGGGGTTCTTGGGGGAGGTGAGAGGATCCCTGAGTCTGAGATGGGCATTGAAGGATGGGTAGTCTTAGGAGGGAATGGCATCTCACAGGCAGATGAAGGTGTGGTGTCCGAGGTTGTGACCGCAGCCCTCCAAGAAGCCCACCCTGACACAGGCCCATGAACAGTGGGGATGAACATGGGTGAGGCGGTGGGGCAGGTCAGATGTGAGAGAGGTAGGCAGTTTCTGCTGATTTTATAGGAAATGGTGAGCTGTTGACTACTCTAGAGGCAGAGTCACCTGAGGAAAGTGCTCTTCTGAGAAGGGCAGTCTGGCTGCTGCTTATGTGAGGGAGGGGAGAAATGCGGGCAGGCCTCACTCCTGGATACTCACTGAGCGAGCCTTACTCTGCTCCTGATCTCTGAGCAAGAAGAAATCCACATCCTCAGACATGTGGAAAGGGTTAGCTGAACGGTCGGGAGCGGCCACAGACACTGGGGAGGGAGATACCTCGTTGGAGAGATGAGCCGGCTCTTCCAAGCAGTGGTCTGTGCCTCTGGGGTCCCGGTGCCCTCCCAGCCCAGCGCTGGGAGCTTCCAGGAAAGCATGAGCCAGTGGTGAATGTTCTCTTGGATCCAGCCATGCCTGAAGTCCACCCCTGGACCTTCCAACTCCATAAACTCACCTGTCTGGTTTAACCTAGTGAGACTTGGCTTCTGGCCCTGGCACCTGGAAGACACCTCAGGAACCCAGCCCCTCCTGTGTGTCAGAAATCTGTTACGTCCCTGACTCTCTGTCCTATCCCATTTCCAGTGTCGGGAGGGGACTCTACCCTCCACCTCTGCAGAGGAGGGACAGGAGAGGAGGGAAGCAAGAGCTGTATGTAAATGTGGGGCCTGGTGGCAGGGGTCTGCTGATGCTGACCGGAGGCATCTGCCTACGGTGGCAGGGGGATGGGGCAGGGCCAGGGATGGGAGGCAGTCTAGGTGCACAGGCTTTGTCTTTACAGGAGTCTTATTCTCCACAAGCCTCCCACAGTGAGCCTGCACTTTGGGGTGGAGGGTGAGGGTGAGGCTCAAAGTGTCTGAGGCCTGGGGAGGCACGGCAGGAATCTGGGGGGTGGGACCTGCCAAGGACCCCAATTCTGCCAATGCCCCCACCCCAGGTGGCAGGGAGGACAGAACCCAGAGGGCACCAAGCTGGGGGCTTAAAAATATGGTTGCTTTCTCCCTTTACCCTTGACTTAGTAGAAACTCCATTCATTGTAAAAAAAAAAAACAAAAAACACTAAACAAAACAAAAAATTCTAGAAAGTAAGAGAGACTATTATTTAAAAAACTCTACTTTGATAACATTTCTGGGGGTATTTTTTCTAGTACTTTCTCAGCACAGTTTTAATAATTTCATATCTTCCTTTAAAAATAAACAAACCACGTCACCACCAGCAGCTCCCTGTGAAATGGCTAATTCTTTGTGGGCCCTGTGAGCAGACATTAAGGGCTGTGGTATCGGCGTGCACTGACCAGGCATACGTAGTAGCCACAGCCGCCCTGGGCTTCCGCCCCGTGCCATCACTGACTGGCTCTTTGGAACCGATTTTCTGGAGGGAGGGTAGAGGCCAGGGGCTGGGAACAGTTTCCAGGCTTCAGAAACTTATGCTGACTGCCTTCCTAGAGGTCTGTCCCATTTTACACCCCCACCAGCAGAAACAAACAGGTCACCGCTAGAGGGATCAGAGAGTGTCAAAATGGCTCTGCACAATTTGCTGATTAATTACCGAGAGGAAAGGAGCTTTGCTCAGGGAAGCCTGGCTGCCTCTGCCTTACTCAAGCCATCAAAGAGAACATCAGTGCAAGTGAGAGGAGCTGGCATTACCCCTCCAGTTCGACCCCAGAACATCACTTGAGCATTCCTGCCTGGGACGCTTCGTCTACATCCCCCCGTGAAAATTTATAAAGAGAAACCCCAGTAAGGTGGAGTCGGGAGCCCACGCCACTCCACATCAGTTACAGGAAGGAATCATCAGCTGCAGGTCCCCCCACAGGGAAAGCTGGACACTGCATCTCCTAGGAGACCAGGGACTGGAGGCCGTCCTCACCCTGAGCCCCTGCCTTTCTCCAGGGCAGTTTTGTTCAGAACAATCCCTCCCAGCTCCTTCCTGCTCCATAAAACAATATTCTCCCACTTCTTTGGTTGGATTTGCCTATGGCTTTGCCTTAGCTTAACACATCCAGGATTGCAATCCTTTGCTATTCCTGAATAAACCCATTTTTGTTGGTAAAATAACTTCTATTTTTAACACTGTCATGAAGAGGGGTTGGAAGCCCAAAGTCATAGGCATTCTACAAAATCTTTGTACTATTCTTCCAACTTTTCTGTAAGAATCAAATCCTGTCAAAATATTTCAAGACATGAGCTATGGTCAGAGTGAGAATATAGGCAGATCATGTGCCCCTCGGCCCCCCAGATGGGAGGAGGTCAGCCAGGGCCTCCAGGCAGAAACCAGCCTGGCTTCTGGAGGAGGGGCTGACCTGTGTGTGGGAGAGATGGCTCAGCACAGCCCAAGGTCCATCAGGGACCTGTGGACAAGAAGGACAGGTGGGACAAGGTTCACGCAGCACGGCACAGAAAGGGGGCTGTTACAGGCCTTGTGCGGTTTGGTTAGGAGAGGGGACCTTATCCCATGCCTAATAACGATTTCCCTTTCCGCTCTTTGGTTCTGACAGAGAGATTCTGGAAGGGATGGCCCAAAGGCCTGGCTGTCAGCTGCACAAGGCCAGGGAGGTGGCTAGGGATGGTGAACCCAGACAGGGCCTTCCTCCTCCACGAGGCCAACCCCACACCCCAGAAATGACATAACGTACATTTAGAAATCACAGGCAGCTCTGGGCAGAAGGGATGGGGCTGGTAGAGGAGAAGAGTTAGGAAGCTTTAGAAGAAGGAAGGCAGATGGGGTGGGGTCAAGGGGCGTGGGGGAAGGGGTGGCTCTGGGCAGCCGAAATGGGGCAGAAGGGGCAGGACAGAGTTGCCACGGCCAGTCCCCTCCTCGTGTCCTCACCCCACTCCCTCCCTCCCTGTTCCTGGCCAGCTACCCAGGGCAGAGGCATGTGCGCTAAATTTAGAACCATGAGACTGAGCTGAGTCGGGCAGGCGGGGGCAGTCAGAGCCTTAATGCCCCCAAACTGGACAGTGGTGTGAATGGGCCACACGTCCTATGTCTCCACCAAAAAGAGTATGAGAGTTCGCAAACACGGGCCGACTGAGGACTGTATGGGACCTGATTTCCATAACAACCCCATGAAGTGGGAATTATTGTTGCCCCCAGTAAGGAAACTGAGGCACAGAGGGGTAAGAGGCTCACCCGAAGCCATAGAGCTGTATGTAGCTAAGTGGAGATGGACTTCTGCAAACAAATTACATTTATAATCAGCTGAGTAGGGAATGCTTGCTATTGATGTGAAGATAATCATGTGTCATGTGAAGGTGAGCCCACAACTGCAAATGGCATTTGGAGCAAATCATTCCAGAAATGCAAAGTCTGTTTAACATTGCAATCAGCGGTGTAACACACCCCATTAACAGAACAAGGGAGGAAATACCCTTGCAAGGGGTGCAGTAAAAGGATTTGATAACATTCAAAACTTATTTGGAATAAAGTCTTAGCAACTTAGTTTTAGAAGGGGACTTACCCAATCTGATAAAGGGAAATATGGGGAGCTGAGTAATGGCCCCCAAAGATGTTGCACCCTAAATCCCAAACCTGTAACTATACATAGTAAAGGGGCCTTTGCAGACATGATTAAGGACTCTGAGATGAGAGATGATTCTGGATTATCCAGATGGGCCTGAAATAATCACGAAGGTCCTTATGAGAGAGAGGCGGGAGGGTCCGAAGCGAAATGAAGAGGTGTGACAACAGAAGCAGAGGCTGGAAGATGCTGCTGGCTTTGGAGATGGAGGAAAGGACCGTGAGCCAAGGGACGCAGGCGGCCTCCGGGAGCTGAAAAGGAAAGGGACAGATCCCACCCTCCAGCCTCCTGAAGAACACAGCCCTGTGGACACTTGATCCTAGCCCATTTCAGATCTTTGATCTCCAGAACTGTAAGACAGTAGAGTTGTGTTGTTTTAAGCCACTGACTGTATTTCTGGCGATTTGTTACAGCAGTGGTAGGAAATGAATACAGGAATCTAAAGAAACCTCTAGGTGGAATATTGACTGTTTCCCTCAAGATTAGGAAGGAGGCATGGATGCCTATTCAATATTGCGCTAAGGCAAGAAAAAGGCATAAAAGGTACAGGATTGGAAAGGAAGGGAAGATAATGTCTCAAGGTGACAGGATTGTATAGCAGAAAATCCAAAGAATCTGCAAACAAAATGGTTGCCATTAGTGTAGAGATGGTTTGTAAATCTTACTGTGAAATGAAAGCAGAACTTTTAGAAGATAAATTAATGGATATCTTCATGACCTTTTGATTTAGCAAAGAGTTTTAAAACAGGACATAAAAGTACAAATCATAAGGAAATGATTGGAAAATAGAACTACATTAAAATTAGGAACTTTTGTTCATTAAAAGGCACTTCCAAGAGACTGAAAAATTCTCCAATCCACAGAGTAGGGGAAGGTATTTGCAATTCTTAAAACTGGTGAGTGGCTTGTATCTAGAATATATAAAGAGCTTCTAGAAATCATTAAAATGAAAAGACAGCCCCTCCCCCCCCCGGCGTGCCGGCGCCCGACTGGCCTGGCTCCCCTCCCCGGCCCCCGACGGGGCAGGCGGACTGCCCTGAGGAGGTGGGGAGGGGAGGGGGCTGGGCCGGCCAGCGGGTGGGTGACGATGCCGAACTTCTGCGCTGCCCCCAACTGCACGCGGAAGAGCACGCAGTCAGACCTGGCCTTCTTCAGGTTCCCGCTGGACCCGGCCAGATGCCAGAAGTGGGTGGAGAATTGTAGGAGAGCAGACTTAGAAGATAAACACCTGATCAACTAAATAAACATTATCGATTATGTGCCAAACACTTTGAGACCTCAGTGATCTGTAGAACTGTAAGTCATGGGAAGGCTTGGTTTTTGTGTTTCCTTTCTCTGTCACTCACTCAGTATCTGGTTGGAAATGTAAATCTTTATCTGTTAATGTTGGAGAGTATTCTTATACCCTACCACTGTTTTTTTTTTCTTTTTTAAGATGAAGACAAATTTGGAACTGAATAGTATGTTTTGTTCTTAAAAACCTGTTTCTTTACCTCTCTGTTTCTGATGCCCCATTCCTACTCAAAAGAGATAGCCATTTTTAAACTTCTTATGTAGCCTACAGAAAATTTTAGATGATTATAAAAGTATATATTTAAGGTAAAGTTAGCATTTTTATTTAGAGCAGCTTCTCTAGAGCTTTTTTATGAGTGAAGTCTTCATCAAGAAATTGAGCTCCTTGTTTTCGTGTTCTTGTATGCACTGTTAGAACCAATCCTTAATTTTTAGGTGCTAGAAGGAAAATCATACAATTAATATGAAAAAACTTCCATCAATAATTTACAATTTCGTGTCAAGACCTAGGTCTTTCTACTCATGAGAGAAATTAAAGAAGATACCAATAAATGGAAACACATCCCATGCTCATGGATAGGAAGATTTAATATTGTTAAAATGGCCATCCTGCCTAAAGCAATCTATAGATTCAATGCAATTCCTATCAAAATACCAACAGCATTCTTCAACGAACTAGAGAAAATTATCCTAAAATTCATATGGAACCACAAAAGACCTCGAATAGCCAAAGCAATCCTGAGAAGGAAGAATAAAGCTCCCCAACTTCAAGCTCTACTACAAAGCCACAGTAATCAAGACAATTTGGTACTGGCACAAGAACAGACCCATAGACCAATGGATCAGACTAGAGAGCCCTGATATAAACCCACACATATATGGTCAATTAATATATGATAAAGGAGCCATGGACATACAATGCCGAAATGAGAGCCTCTTCAACAGCTGGTGTTGGCAAAACTGGACAGCTACATGCAAGAGAATGAAACTGGATTATTCTCTAACCCCATACACAAAAGTAAACTCGAAATGGATTAAAGACTTGAATGTAAGCCATGAAACCATAAAACTCTTAGAAGACAACATAGGCAAACATCTCCTGACTATAAGCATGAGCAACTTCTTCCTGAACNAAAGATGCTTCACATCACTAATCATCAGGGAAATGCAAATTCAAACCACAATGAGATATCACCTCACACCAGTAAGGATGGCCAGCATTGAAAAGACTAAGAACAACAAATGTTGGTGAGGATGTGGAGAAAGGAGAACCCTCCTACACTGCTGGTGGGAATGTAAGCTATTTCAACCATTGTGGAAAGCAATATGGAGGTTCCTCAAAACACTAAAAATAGAAATACCATTTGACCCTAGAATCCCACTCCTTGGAATATACCCAAAGAATTCAACTCCTCAGATTCAAAAAGACATATGCAACCCTATGTTCATCACAGCACTTTTTACAGTAGCCAAGATATGGAAGCAACCTAAGTGTCCATCTGTAAATGAATGGATAAAGAAGATGTGGTACATATATACAATGGAATACTATTCAGCCATAAGAAAGAAACAAATCCTACCATTTGCAACAACTTGGATGGAGCTGGAGGACATTGTGGTCAGTGAAATAAGCCAGGCAGAGAAAGACAAATGCCAAATGATTTCCCTCATTTGTGGAGTATAACAATGAGGCAAAACTGAAGGAACAAAATGGCAGCAGACTCAGAGACTCCAAGAATGAACTAGTGGTTACCAAAGGGGAGGGGTGTGGGAGGGCGGGTGGGGAGGGAGGGAGAAGGGGACTGAGGGGTATTATGTTTAGTACACATGGTGTGAGGAATCACGGGGAGAACAGTGTATCACAGACAAGGGACATAGTGGATCTCTGGCAACTTGCTGCACTGATGGACAGTGACTGCATTGGGGTATGGGTGGGGACTTGATAGTATAGGTAAATGTAGTAAGCACATTGTTTTTTCATGTGAAACCTTCATAAGAGTGTATATCAATCATACCTTAATAAAAAATTTTTTAAAAAATGAAAAGACAGACAAACCAATAGAACAGTGAACAGAAGCCAGGAACACGCATTTCACACCACAGATTCATCAATGGTTCAAAAATACATGAAAAGGTAGTCGTCCTTGTTGGTCACATGTGACATGAGATGCTAATATATATTCAAAGGGCCAAGTAATGTTAAAAGTATCGACAGCATGCCAAGTGTTGGAGAGGATGTGGTGCATCTAGCACTCTCACATCTGTTGGTTGGACTGTGACTCGGTGTAATTGCTCTGGAAAACTGTTCAATGAGGGTTCATTGCAGTACTGCTAAAAACCAGAAACAACTCAAATATTCATCAAATCAGGACCGAATAAATATGTTTTTGGCCCATGCACACAACCTAACACACTCAGCAGCAACAGAGGAGGGACCTCCTGCTCCCGGCACCTCTCAAACATGATGTTGAGTAAAAGCAGCCAGAAACAAGAGAGAATAGGGTATGATTCCATTTATGTGAAGTTCAAGAATGAATGACATGATTCTGTGGTGATGGCAGAACAGGAATTTCTGTGTGGACAAGAATGTTCTAGATGGTGAATGGCTTGGGGTACCAAGTTGTATATACCTTTGTCAAAATGTTTCAAACTGTATACTTGATATTTGTGCATTTCACCATATTATGAATTATATGGTGAGGGAACCAAACCAAACCCAGACCCCTCACCCTTAGTGTGACGAGCAATTCACAGCATTCAGCATTCACACAGCATTCATGGGCTGAAGAAACTGCTGGGTGAATGACTGATGGGAGCTGTGACAGAGGGTCAGGCAGACATCCCCTGAACCCACTGATCCCTACATAGCCAACATCAAGGTAGCCGGATGCCCACGCAGCAAGGATACTTGTGGACAAAGTGGAATATGGATCCTATCAGGCATCTGGGGTTAATGTCCAATGAAAGGAAATATGAGAAACAGAGAAACAGTTTCAGTGACAGACACAGGCAGGAAGCAAACAGATGCACACAGAATAGGGGATAATCTACAGGATAATTAACAGCATTTCTCACCAAGTCATGACACAGACAGTGGAAGGAGGTTGGGGAGGGGCTCTGCTACATTAGAAGAGACTGATACTTAGATCTCATTTGAATCCTGATCTGAACATACCTTCCATACGAGGACATTGCAGAGGTAATTGGGTAGATATGACAGTGGACAGGTTAATTTCATTGTGGTCTCACCAGGAAACATCCCTATTTCTGAAAAAATGCCTTCTGAGGTGGGTAAGGATGAAATGACATATCTGGATTTTACTTTAAAATATTCTGGCAGGGACAAAAAGAGAAGGATAGAAGGAAGAGATGGAACAAATGTGGTGAAATCTCGTCCATGTCCCCTCTGATGGGGGGCTTGTGCATTTACTGGGCTTTAGTCTCTTCTGGGAAGATGTGGATTTTCATAATGGAAAGAAAGAGGAAATGGGGGGTGAGATGGGGTTTGGGGGTCAGCCTGTGAAGGACAGGCCCGCACTGCCCAGCTGCACACGCTCAGCAGAGGGATCAGACTGACTGTAAGCCTGGGGCCATGGAGCAAGCCAAGGTGTGGCAGTGCGAGGCCTCAGAGCATGCTGCACAGGCAGCTGGCTGCCTACTCTTCTTTCTCCTAATACTTAGCAGCCATGTGTCTAATTGGAAATGACACTTCTCAGCCTCCCTTGCAGATACGGATGGCCAGGTGACAAACTTCTGCCCAATGGAATGTAGGCAGAAATTGCTGGATGGGGCTTCTGAGAAGGATATTTTCCCAGGAAGGGCTGAGCTGGCTGGTAGGCAGCTTTGCCCTTCCCTTTGCTCATTCTCCCTGTCTGGAATCAGATGTGATTGCTGGAACTGCAGCAGCCATTTTGTGACCATGTGATAACCTTGGCATTGAAAACCCTAAGGCTGGAGATGGTTGGACCAGAAAGACTTGGGACCTGGTCATCTGGACGATTTCTCAACTCTTTGTGGAGCCCTGGACTGCTTCTTACATTTCCCATTACTAGAGGAAAAATAAATCCTACTTTGTATACATTCCTGTTATTTCATATCTCATTAACCCAGTTCCTAATGGAAACAGAAGCATTTTCCTCTGCCCTTTGTGCTGGTGACTAGGTCTGCAAAGGGATGGTTTAACTGCCACCAACCCGGGCTTCCACTCCAGCTTGAGGATTACCTTTGCCTTTTTTCCCATGTTTTGCCTTTTTTTCTTCAGTGCGTGGAGAACTGCTGTCTGTGGATGATCCCAGGCTGTTCTCTGGGGAGACACAAAGTGAGGGCCACGGCAAATGACTCTTCAGTTCATGATGGCTGTGAACACAGCATGAGGCTGGGGAGAGATCCAGACACACTGGGGCTCTGGCACCAGCGTCCTCGCCTGTCTGTTGACCGGGCTTTGCAAGTCACCCAGCTTCTCTGAACCTCAGTTTCCATGTCTGAGATGATCACACTGACTTTTTCTGGGGAGCTGTGAGCTGCAGCAAGGCCCCACGTGCACGTGCACCTGGTGCACAGGGGTGTGGTGCCTTCCCTTTCGCAGCCTTCCATTTGCTCCTTAGGAGTCGTGCCAGACCGTTTGATGGGGGAGCCATGGCCCCTAAGCCCTCTGCCTACGGTAGGCCCAGAGCTTCAGCTGTGAGCCTGCCAGAGCTTCCCTAGGGCTGCAACCAAAGCCTGAGAGATCCCCATCTCCTTATTTTTCTCTCTTCAACTGGTACCCTCAGGGAAGGAGGCATTTGGTCGGATTCTTCCTCCTACCCTAAGGAATCATCTGTAGCTTGGAGATACCAGGCTATGCCAGCCCAGAGGGGCAGCCAGTCACTGGCAGATGGGCTGGGGTTTTCCAGAGAGCCCAGAGATGTATGCTGGTGAGCGGCTCAGGGAGCCAGGCCAGCGCAGAGGAGGGTGACCTGGGGTAATGAGGGCAAAGACATGGCCTGGGAGGTGGGGGACCTGACACTGAGGGACAGACTCTGAGCAGCTGAGCAATGGGGTGCATAAAAGGGAGGAAGAGAGGGGTCCTGAGGCTCTGGCAGGAAGGTCAGGGCCTGGGCCTGAAAATGCAAATACCTCCTGGGCCAAGCTGCATAAATATAATGGTAAAGGGGGGAGGCAGTAAGAGGGTGCTGGGGCCTGTGGGAAACTCAGGTGCTAAGCTGCTGAATCATCCTTTTCTATCTTTCTTAGTAGCTATAGGGGAGTCAAACTTAATTAACCATATCATAAACTTCAGAAGATACCACTGTTATCGGAACCCTAATAAAATCGAACTTTTTTCTTAATTGAAGAGGCAATGAAGATACACACCAAAAATTTTCTAACAATGCAGGCTTGACGTGTCAGTGTGATGAAAAGCCCTCACTACCAGATTTTGTCTTTCTAACCAGAGGTATTTTGTGCACACACACTTAGGTGCCCCTTGCTTTTTTTACTAAACAAATGCTTCTGCATTTTTTTCACATGTCATAACATGGATGAACCTGCGAATATTATGCTCAGTGAAAGAAGCCAGTCATAACAGGACAAATACTGTATGATCTCACATCAGTGAGGTCCTCAGGGTAGACACACTCCTAGAGACAGGAAGTAGACTGGGGGTGGTCCCGGGGCTGTGGGAGGGAGTAGGGAGTGTTTAACGGCCACAGAGTTTCAACTTGGGAAGTTCTGGGGGTGGATGGTGGGGATGGTTGCACAAAAATGTGAATGTACTTAATGCCAGTGAACTGTACGATGCAAATGCTTAAAAGGGTAAATTTTGTTATGTATAATTTACCCCGAGCTTTTAAAAGTTAAAAAAAGAAATACATTTGCTCAGCTACTTAGCCAGGTCCCCTGGTGGGCCCTGAGGTTATTTCCAGTCTTTCACAATTTCCAAATTTGTGCACCAGTTCCAAACGGAGCGGGACTGTTTTCCTGCACACCTGGAACTCTGCCGTTTGCCAGGTGATAACCAGCATCTCAGTGTGAATTTGCATTTTTTAACTGCAGAGAAGATTGTGTGTCTTCCTAGATGTTAATGATCATCTAGGTAAGATGCTTCTCTCTGGGAATATCCTTTGTGCTTTTTTCTGTTGGTATTTGTAGTTTTAACATGATTCTCGAGATACTTTGTCAGTTAAAGGACGTTGGCTCAGCTGTTTGTCAGCACTGCTGAAAGTACCTGTCCTCCAGATGACCTGTCAGTTCCGTTTGGACTGTTTATTATATATTTTCTGTAGAGGACATTTTACTGTTTGCTTGGTGAGATGCTTTGGGGTGTTGTGCCTTGCCTAGAAAGGCACTCCCCATACTAAAAAAATCCATGCATTAAAAAAATTCTATTTTCTTCTGGTGTTTGAACGAGGTAATATTTTTTAAATTAAAAGTTTTTAAGAACATAAGCCTACTTCTAGATAATTCTCCAGGAAACAAAGAAAGGCAAGCTGGGTGCAAAAGATCCTTATTTTAAGAAGTGATAAGTATACACCCCTCCCCCCAGGCAATGGGGGACTTGGGGTGAGCTCCGGTGCACGGTGAGGAGAGGAGGTGCCAGCTCTCTGGGGGGCCACCTGCTGACCCGCTTGTCCTCAGACCAGCCAGTTGTCCCCATTTTCCTCCACAGAGCCACCTTCTCTGCACTAGGCGGGCTGCTGCCTCCAGCTGCAAGAGGGGTGGGTCCCCATGGTGGGACGCAGTCCTCAGCCATCTTCTTCTCTCACCCCAGGACTTAACACCTTAACTGCACACCACTGAGCCCCCTCCCTGCTGCCGGTGCCCTCCTGTGCCCACTTTTCAGTCCACCTGCCCCCTGGCTCTGGGCCCCCTCCTTGGGGCCTTGTCTGGCCTCCTTGACCTCTTGCCACCATCCCAGCAAAGGATGATGGATTTCATCCTTCATGGGCTTTGCACCAGGGTGCTCTGGAAATATCCCCTTGCTCTCTAGGCCCTCAAGCTCTTCAGAACTGCTCCTTCTTTCTTTCCAGGCTGGAAACATGCCCAGGTAGGTCCCCCAGGCCCACAGACGCCCTCCATGCAGGATCAGCCTCTCCTAGAACTGCCTGGAAATGGAGAAGCCCAGTCACCCAGACCCTGTGAATTAGTGTGCATCCGGACAAGCTTCTCAGCCAACTTGAATGTGCAGTGAAGTCTGAGAATCTCTTGAGCACGGTCCTGTGCCAATCCCAAGCTAGGCACTAGAGGACACAGAAGCAATGCAAATTATGAGGATTTAACTGTGTCCAGCAGAATCCAACTAGAAGCAATTGGAAAAGAAAAAGAAAATCTTTCTTTGGAGACTTTCACTTGAATTTGCATTTGGGTCAAAGTTCTAATACTGGTTAATGATTTTGTTTCATAACATGAGATTCTCTGATCAATTCTGCTTCCAAATAAGTAACCTCACTGTGTTATATTGCACACTGTAAATGTAGTCCACACACCCTAGCGCTATGGTCTGACTGGCGTGGGAGGAGATGGGTCGGGAGTACGGGTGCAGCTCCCTCCCTGCCAGGCCACCCTCCCTGCCCACACCATTGCTCCTTGAAGGACGGAGTGGTCCTCTGTATAGCTTCCCGTTTTGGGTTCTGGAATGTGCCCCTCAGAGCTTTCAGGCCCGGGATGGACAAGGCTCCTGCTGCTCACAGCTCTGCGTGCCCCTCAAGGCCTCCGCAGCCCCTGTGAACAGTCCCTTCCTTCCGCGTTCCTCCAGTCACTCCACCTGGACCTGCTGGGCTCCGCTGGGATTCCTGATGACCGCCCTTCCCCAGCTGCTGCCCCTTTCAGACCACTGTGTCCCTTCTCATTTCCAGACACCCCTTGAGAGCTGACCAAACTCCCCTCTCCACTTGCTGCCCCTGCTGGCCCCCTCGGGCTTTGGGCTTCACCTTTCACTCCACCAGGCTCTCCCCCTGGGGGTCCTGAAGGCCTCTCCAGGGCCCGTCCCTATGTGCTCCTTCTCGAAGCCCTGCCCTCTCGGCTCTGGTCTCCCCTGGCCTGTCTGGCTGCTCCCTTGTTCCCCTTTGCACACTTCTCCAGCTACCAGGGGTCTTCAGCCTGTGTCCTGGGCCATTCTCTCTCTCACCTGTGACCATGGCTTCAGTTCCCACCTCTGTGCCGCTGACACTCACATCTCCCTCTGCTCTCCCTGTCTGCAGGCTCCATCAACAGCTGCCTCTTCAGTGTCCACTTGGCAGTTCCCACGGGCACCCGAACCAGGGAGCCCCCCGAGCCCACCTGAGCCCCCTGCCGCCTCCTCCTGCTCCCCCCAGACCCACTCCTCCCTGCTCTTCACCACCTCAGCAAACAGCTCAGGATCCCCAGGGGTTCTTATCTAAGAGACTAAGTTTCCCTGGTGCTCCCCTCTCTCCCATGCCCACCTCCAATCAGGCCCATGTCCCATGGACCCTCCCAAAAAGCACTGAATCCACCTACTTCCCTCCAATCCAGCTACTACCACCCTCATCTCTGCCATGGTTCAGCTTCTGTGACCCCACACCCACCTTAGATCGCAGAACTGATCATATGTTTCCATTCTTCACAGCAGCCACCACCTATGGCAGCCCCCAATGCCCCTGCCTCCTGGCACTCACGCCCTTTGGAGCCCCTCCAGCCCTGAATCATGACTGTGTGACTGACTGTGGTCACCGTAGAAGTGACGATGTATGACCTTTGAAGCAGGGTCAGAGAACACTGTGGCTCTGCCTTGCTCTCTGGGGTCACCTGCTCTGGGGAAGTCAGCCACCATATTGGGAGGACACTCAAGTAGCCCTGCGGAGAGGCCTTGCGGGGAGAAATGAGGCCTCCAGCCAGCTGCTGTGTGAGTAAGCCTGCTCGGAAGCCCATCCCCAGCCCCAGTCAAGCTTCCCAGTGACTAAAGATGAGACATCTGAGCCAGTATCACCAGCCTGAGCCCCTCATGAATTCCCGACCCTCAGAAACTGTGAGCTAATAGATGTTTACTACTGCTCTAAGCCACTATGTTTTGGGGTACCTTGTTACCCAGCAATAGAGAATGGCACTTCCTTGATGGCTTCCCAGGTCTTGTAGGACCAGGATCTGGATCTCGTGGTCTGGGAGACCCAGTGGGAGTCGCCCAGCCCCCTCTACAGTTTCGTATCCAGTTAAATGATCCCCCTCAGCACCCTCTGGCCACCCTAAGGCTCTCATGGACCCTTGACCAGGGTAAGCTTCTCTGAGAGGCAGGCATTGCCACGTGCAGTCCCCTTTGCCCCTTCACCCCACCCTGGCCAAGCCCCCCTCAGCCCACACCTTTCTGTCTGC